CATTTGTAATCCCTTCAATTTATAACAGCTTTCCCTTTTAACAAAATGTGATTGGATGTTTGAAGGTAACACATTTTTATAAGCTTTATATGTAACCTACAGGATATGATATTCAACCAACTCATAACATTTGAATAATTTTAATTGATGAAACAATATATTAGATGGGTGATAGTAATGCTTTCTGAATTTCTGCAGAAGCTTCATGAAACGCTTCACAAAACTCATTTAGGAAGTTCAAACTTAGTATTAAGTCAGGAAACTTCAACCTAATTCATCAGTTTGTCAAAAAGAAGCTCTGCTGAGCGGCGATGTGTTATCCTGGAAGCCCCGCCTCCATCCTGAGCGACAGCTGTTTGATCCAAACGTCAGTCCTGATGAAGATTCACGGCTCTCAGCTTCAGACTGAGACACCTGGAAGGCATCAGGCTGAAGATGCTCCTCGGCCATGGAAACCATCCCCTGAAAGGACAGATGTGTCCAGATGACTTACAGAGGCTGACCTCAGGAGAAGCAGAAGAAAAACACGAGAAAATAAAAGTGTTTTTGTCTCTAAATGCCAAAGTGTCTGTGGAGCGTGAAGCTGAAAGGGTTAAACTGATGGATGAGCTGCCACACACATGCTGAAGGTCAAAGTTCACCTCTGAGCTGAAGTTCTTAAGATGTTTCTCAATCCGTTCCTGCGACAAATCCACTCAGCTACRCCCAGGAATGTGGATTATTTGTGGCGGCCATCTTGTTTCATCACGTTTCCTTTTAGCAGCTTGAGTAGTTGGTGGATTTATACTCCAGATGTGCCGAACTTTATTTTGAAGTCTTTTTGTTCTAAAAAGTCGTTCTGCGTACGTTCACCTGAACTGTTGTCTCGGTGACGCTCCACGTAATGTGCCACTGGACAGAATATAGTGGGCGTGTTTTAGCAGAAAAGCTGATGCTGTTAGCAAATACAGCCATTTTTATATATGTGCCAGTAAAACATATAACCATTGATATTTATGACTGGAGTGGGCGTGGCTAGCGCGTTGCGCTACATTAACGTGCACACACTGGAGCTCTGTTCTGCGTTGAGGAGCCTGAACAAAATGAATGCAGGTTAATGGACTGTGAGGCGTCATCCTGATAAACTCTTGTGAATTTCTTATTTCTTGTTTAATTTTTACAAAGCTGAGGAATGTGTGAATTTTATAGTTACGGATATTTAAAATAACTAATTCAAATGACTAAAACAGTGGCTTAAAGTAAGTATTTTTCATTTCACAGGTGGTTTTTCCTATAAATTATGAGTTCTGACCAGCCGGATATTCATACAGATATTTATTAATCAGAACTGAGTCTCAGATATTTAAAATAATAAAATTAATATTTCAAGTATGTGTGTGTATACTTGATGGATGAATTTAAACATATATTAATATACACATGTATATAGTGCTATATGTATGTGTGTTTGTGTTTAACAAATATTTCTTACAACTATAGAAGTTTTTGCTGTAGACTACAATAATTTTAACATCAGTAAAAACAAATGGAAAAAGAACAAATTATTTCAGGTCACAAAGTATTGTTTAATGACTTTATTTTTATCACAAATAATTATTCTTCAGTTTCATAATGATGCAGGCTGTATCTGAAGCTGACCCACAGCATGTTTTCTTTCTCCCTTTTCTCTGGAAATGTTGAAAAACACAAATACTGGATGTAGAAAATATCTGAATACACCAGCCTGTCTGACAAGATGAATATTTTGTTTATGATGCTCAATCATTACATTACATTACTGTCTGTCATTAGTGAGTCTACATTGATTTGATTTGATTTATTGATTTAACAGGAAAAGATTACTAAAAATCAAGCCTGACTCAGCATAATTGCTGTTTTACAGCAGGTTCCTGTTCTGCAGCACATAAACACTCAGAATTACAGCATCACAATCACATCATTATACACCATAGACACAAAGACAAACAAGCATACCAAATTTCAGGAAGGCAGCATTTGCAAAATAGGACGTCTAAATATGAGCACAACAAAAAGTGTCCAGCAGATGGCAGACAAGATTCTTCTTAAAGGGCTGTAGTTTTGAAATGGACTTTATGTTTTGAGGAATGTCATTCCATGCTTTAGTATAAACATAGAAGAAAGACCTCTGGCCGTAACAGTTTTTAAAAGTTGGTAATATCAGTTGTCCTTTTGTAACATATCTAGTTGAATGACCACTTCCAGAATTTGATTTGGGCAACAATGCACAGAGAGTTCCATAATTGGCACCTTGGAAGATCTGAAAATATAAATTAATACCACTATACAAAACATAATTCTGAAAAGTCATGATAATTTCTGAATTAGTATGTATCTAACTAGTCAACAATCCAATAAAGTCCATATTTTACATGTTTAATACCAGTAAATAATATATTTGACAACAGACAAAATCGATTCTAAAGGCTAAACATGAACATTGAAGCTGTTTAATGTTAGCTTACAGATTTTATGATTAATTAAAACAATACATTTTGGTTAAATTTGTGTGGTATTTACCYGTGAAACATAACGCTTTTAGCTCTTGTAAACGTGTTGTAACAATCTATGTAGTTTATAAAAAAGTATTTGTACCATTTGTACGTTTTATAAAGCGTTTTCTTTGCACCGCGCTACGTTCTGCTCAGTGATTTCAATGGTTAGCGTTAGCATTAGCTCAATGCATAAAACCCCCCTTGTGAAGCACGCCCAGGTCACGTGATGCCCAATCAAATATGCATTAGGTTTTTGTGCTTAGAGGACAGCTCCACCAAGTGGTGCGATGCTTGCTGTCATTTCATGAGTAAAATAATCAACATGCATTATGGGAAATGTAGTTTATGGTCAATTCTGGCTGCAGCTTATTTTAAGACCGTAATAAAGCTCTTGCGGGCCATATAAAATGCTGTCGCGAGCCATATTTGGCCCGTGTACCTTGAGTTTAACACATAAGGCTTAAGGATGCTGTCTGTTTGAAACGGCTTTTTCTTTGGAGCTCCTTTATAAAAAATGCTTTCTTCCTCATTTAACAGAAATACCTACTCTCCCTCCTTTTAAATCCTTCATCATCACCTGCAAATTAAAGTAGTGGGCGGGGCTAACAGGTGTCCTGGCTGTAGTTTGTCTGGCAGTAACGAGAACAGATGTTGAGTGTCGTGGAGTGTGTATCAGCTCCTCAGACTGAAGCAGGTGATCTGAGTGAAACAATGAAGCTGAAATAAAAGAAAAACACGTCCTTCAGTTGTGATCTTTGCCCAAGAGAGCTTTAAACTGTATTTATTTATTTTTTATCTGCTCTCTGCTGAGGAATTTTGTTGACATGAAGTCTTTAAAAGGTTCTGTAATCATGGAAAAAGTGAGTCACTTTTCATTTTCTTTCTGCCTACTTGAAAGGTATTTTAAACGGCCTGTTGAAATAAACGGAGGGTATTTTAAGGTTGTTTGGACTGTGAGGAATTTGAGAATCAGCACGAATAAAGGAGGCGAATGTTTCATGATAATCATGAATGGTTTTCTCTTTTTGTTTCTTGCAGGGCGAAGTATTTCAGAGGGAAGAAGCTGAACGGAGAATATGAGATCCGAGTGGAGCAGGTAGAGCTAATTTAATGTTTCTTGTAGGCATGGGACGGTATGAAATTATGACGGTATTATGATTACAGCTCTAAAAATTTAGTTTTTAAATTTTTATTTAAAAACAAAAAAGAAAATAACTTTTCTATTATCATATTCAACTGTAATTGTCTTTGGAAGCTGTTTTTAGATCTCAGAGGTGTTATGCTGAAATTTTATTTACCTGTGTGCATCTGTACTTTGATTTTTAGCACCTAATGCAATTATGTTATCCTGATAAAATTTACATCTAATAGGAGAACTGCTTTTCTGTTGCTTTATTATTTAAGACATCAGTGTATACTGCACAAGTCTTTTTATTGAAATAATGTAGCACGTTGGAGATTTTTATTGTGTTTTAAATGACAAAGGGGTTTTGATGTAAAGATTATATAATTATATGCACACAGAAACAAGAAATCACAACWATGAATGGGGAGGGGTTGCAGGGGGAAAGTCTGCAGCGGCACAGACCAGAGGAAAAATAAACAAAAAACGCTTTCCGTACGGTATGACAAAGTTTTAGTRGTTTTGAAACCATGACTTTTTCATATCACGGTGTACCTTGAAACYRGTATTCGGCGCATGCCTAGTTTCATGAGATATTTTGCTAACAGAYACTCAGGCTTGACTCCATAAGTTAATGCTAAAGTTTGGAGTTTGTTTCGGGGATGATCTCAACTACTGTCGTACCAAATTTCAGCTCATTATTATTAAATCTTGACCAGCTGAACTGAAGCTGCCASCTTGTGTTTATGGAACCAGAGTCTGCTCACTGTCAGGCTTTAAGCCCCGCCCACTCTCCTGCACACAGTCAATACTTTGACATCAACCATGAAAAAACAACTGAACRTGCTGAGAAAAATGACTGAGCGTACAGCAGCAAGATGAGAACTACTTGAATTAAAGAGTTAACTCCTGAAAAACTGATTTYTTTTCTAACAAGGACCATTTGTTTACGCAGAGTGGGCTGCATCTGAAAGTTGTACTGAAACATGTACAGCTTCAACTTTTGGGCTCCCAAACAGAGTCTAATATCTAGTGGTTTATCAGACCACCGTAATCATACACAGTGGTCATCTATGGTGGAACAGAACTAAAATTGTTCCATATTTCCTCCGGTAAGATGATAATTGTGTTTTCGTCTCACCCAGACACGAGGCTGGTTAACAACCACGTGTCAAACTCAAGGATTGTGGGCAAAATGTGGCTCGCCACTGCACTTTATGTGGCCTGTGAGAGCTTCAAAGACGTGTTAATGCATGAAAATAAACTGCTTTAAAAACAGCATTGAGCAYTAACTACATCTCCCATAATGCATGTTGATTATTTTGCTTGTAGAATGACATCTCACCACTAGGCGGCGCTGCACAGGGTTCAAAAGTAGCTGGAGAAATTTGCTGTGTAAAATCTCTATGAGAACACAAATTTCTCTGCATTTTTGCTGACTACTATTGCTGCGGCCTAGTTGTAGTGGGAAGTGGGAGTTTCCCACTTATAAAGGCGTAAATTTAAACTGGAACACCTCTCTAGTGGGAATTCCCTGTGGGAAAGTGGGAGAGTTTAGAATTCAAGATGGCAGCTACTCGCTACACATCGTGAGTAAAACTATTACTTGTACTTTTAATAGTATTTTTGTTTTATTTATTGCATTTACTCAGTGGTGCACGTAGTACCAGGTAGAGCTCAGTTAATATTTGTTCGTGGGAATCAGACTCAACGAGACGAGAAACGTGATGTTCAGTCATTAGTTGCGTTTCCATTGCGAATGTGCGCAAAACTTTGTTGACATTCTGTTAATGTTGAAAAAACACAGTTTCACAACTGCAGTGTTTCCATTAAGTAAGAAATGTTATTAAAGTCACGTGAATTCGTTTGTTCTCATGATAAGTCATTACAAACATGGCRGCGATGGATGTAAACACATAGCATGTTGCTACCACGACACTAGCGCTCATCATCAGAGGAGACATCGGCGTCTTTTATCGAGGCTTTCCAGAGACAAGTCCCTACTTGGGAGCGGCTACGTATGCTGTGTTTTTGGGAAATTGTTGTCGGTGAGTTTACTATTTTATACTACTTCTGTGATATTACTACTACTTCTACTTTCTGTTATCTTCTTCGTCATCGTCTTTTTCACCAGTAGAAACAGCCGGTTGTTGATCACGTGACTCCCGTGATAAAAGAAGTGTTTCCATTGCAATTTTGTGAAAAACAACAATTTCGATACGGCCGAAAAACCATCTCATCCTAGCGCAAAAACATTTTGTCGAAAAATATAATTTTTTCTAAATTGACGTGTTTCCTTTCAGCAAATTTATTTTCGAAATTCTAATTTGTGCATTTTCATGGTCAATGGAAACGCAGCTACAGTTGAGACTAAAGGGGTCTCTAAAGGCAGGGGTGGGTTTATGGGAGAAGGAATTAAATAAAACTGTGCCGGTGGTTTTTACAGCCCATTAGCTCAGCTGTGGTCCTCTGTCTGATGTAGGGGGCGGAGCTTGGGACCTTTCTGTGAAATCTAAGATCTTTTTAATCTCGTAACGCCGTAGTTATTAAACCCAACTAAGACTGGACAGATTTAATTAGGCCTTGTAAGCTCCAGTCCTCACCAAGCTGACCCATTTAGATCTCGATGGACTCTGGACTCCTGAATCCTCTGAACTGGACAAGTGGATCAAAACTCACTGGCTCAGTTTTTGTCAGCTGTTTGTGGACTCTGCTGCTCTTTAGACYGACTGGAACCTGATCACATTATTAGGACTGTTCCAGAGTCGGATCAAACAGGTCGGCCCTGCAGCCGTTTGGTTTTTGCTGTCAGTCCTGTCGATGTGAGGTTGGCTCTCTGAAGTGGTCTAAAACCACCAAAGCTCTTCTCTCCTGCCATATAAGGGTCCGTCTGTACAACTGATACTGATCTTTAAGAACTGTAGATTCACTAAAAACCCTCTGTGTGGAACAGCCTGACATTAAACTTTCACTGAGAAACAACTTTCAWATCTAATACTTTTATTCACAACTAAATATCAGAAACAAATAAAATGTTCTGAAACTTATTGACAGCATTATGGTTTTAAAAAAGGGACAACAAAAGCAGCAGAAAACAGCTGGAGGAGTGTTTAGCACTTTATTAGATTAATTGGTGAAAAGGGTCAGAAAGAGGACAAAAAGAGCTTTTTAGAAGTAAASAGTTTTGTTTACAGCTGCTCCTATCGTTCTGACCGAGACAAGGAAAAGAGGTTTTATAACAGAACAGCACTGTAAAATATTGATTTTAAACTTGCGTCTGCAGCCACCACTGTGTTAGCATGTTAGCTGCTGATTCATGTTAGCTGCTGATTCATGTTAGCTGCTGATTCATGTTAGCTGCTAACTTGTCTGTTTTTATAGAATTAGGTTGTTGTAAAATGCTCATTTATTTAGTAGTGATCATTAAGTTTCTGGTARTTTAATATGAACGTCATTTAGACTTTTTAGGCTGCCTTAGTGTTGTATGTTTGTTGTTGTTAGCCGCTAATGCTAGCATCCTAACATAAAACTATCAGAACAAACACTCACCCTGGTCAAGACTAAAYTATAATCCTCGTAAAGCTGTTTGGTAACGAGGTTGTGGACCGACCCGCTGACAGAAAGCTTACACCTCCAGACATTTATCAGCTTTAATCTGCTGTTTGGTTCAGTGAAACTGAAAATGGATCTAAATACGAACGATACGACTCTCAAYAAAAACGTTTTACTTCCTGTCCTCCAATCCGAACCATGTGACCCAGCTCTTTGGATTATTTTTGGAAACCACAAATGCCTCACCGGCTTCTGCAGGAAAGGGACCAATCCATTTGTTACTGTTCAACAGCCTGCCTCTCTGATGGGATAGGGGTGCATTAGAGAACAGACCTTTCCAAGCAAGCCTGTTCTAGCTCCAGTCTTTTCCCACCTCCAGTTTATGCTTTTATTAATGTAATTTATTATTTACTGCATGTTATTTTGTTGTACAAATAAAATTATTGTCTAGGACGACTTCATTAATGCAGGAAAATATCGACCGGTTTAAGAACATCTGCTCCTCTTTCAGCTGCTTGTTTAATCCAAAATTACAAGATTTGTCTTGATCGGTTTCTTTCTCTGGTTTAACTAAAGGTTGAGCAGGTAAAATGTTTCAAACAGCAGAAATACTCTGAGGACTGAAGTTCTGGTTCAGTTTGAAAGAAGCAGCACAGGAGGTGGTTCTGTCAGGGTTTAGGTCCTGGTGTTCTGGTCTCCACATCTGCTCAGCAGCTGTCTCCATGCTGTCCTCATGCAGCTGGTTGGTTGGTGTTTACCTGAGCCTTCAGTCCTCTGGGGCAGAACGGACTCGGAACACATCATTTAGTTTCTGACCTGCAGGTTATTTTRTTTTAAACCTGCCCTCGTGCTCGTCGTTCCTTTCAGCATCTGTTTTAAATCTGAACGTTTAGAGCCTCGCTGGATTTAAAGTTTCAGCTCAGGTGGAGGTGATTAAGAGCTCCAATAAACCAGTTTGTTCAGCGCAGTAGATAGTTTGAATTAGAGTAAAACAATGAGCGCGCCGAGCAGCGGGAGTGGATGAGGCCGGCGAACGTCAGAACCTGGATGTGTGGAAAAACAAGCTGAATAAAGAGGATTTATGGAGTTCAGTTGGAGTCCCAGCTGAACTCCCGTCACACGCCCAGCTGCCAACACTCGGCTCTCACTGGCAGCTCTTCAGAAAGCCGCTCCTAATTCAGCCTGGATGCAGGTCAACAGATGAGAAGAATCAGGTCCCATGTATCACTTCCTGTTTTCTTTTCCCAGGGCAGGRCCAGCTTCTGAATGTGTTGCCCTGATGGTAACCATGGTGCTGGGAAAACCCTGCAGGTCCTGGCTTCTGGGCCCGAGCCCTGCAGCCAACAGCTTCAAACAGGCCCTGATCACAAACAAGTTGTGTCAAAATAAATCAAAACTACATCGACAACTCTCAAATAGAT